CGGTAAAATACTCGAGGGTTTTTTTTTATGCCGTTTGAAAGAAAAATAGGAGAAGGGTTTACCGTGAAGTAAGATGGATAATTAAGGGTTTGGACGATATTTTCCCTTTATTTTACTTTGTCTTTTAGCCCAATCCAAAATATACACTATTTTCTACCTTACCAAATTTTTTGATAATATATATTTCTCCCCAACTTTTTACGACTTATTTGAGCAAAATTTATTATCTTTTTTGTTGTTGTTAAATATGACAATAAATAATAACACGTGAATCAATAAAACTACATGAAAAGGATGCTCACCCCTTTTTCATCCTGGGTACACTTTCAGGTCCACAAAAAACAAGTGAATTCCCCAAACCTTCTAATAACAAGACTCCGAAATCCCCTCCTTTACCTTTTTACCATCCAAATTATTGTTTTAACTATATTAGAGATAGAGATAGAGGGAACGGATAGAGAGAGAGGCGTCTTGGGTTTGGTGATAGCCAAATCACCATGCCTATATTTTATTCTAAAAGATTAAGGGTATTATTGTAAAAAGAAAATAGATTTTTTGGGGAAACAAAAAATTGATATCTGTATAAAAATTTAAATGAAACATAATACCCAAGGGTGAAAATGGATCTCCAAGATAGAGATATGTCTCTAAGAGAGAGACATGGCATCCGAGACAGGCAACATTCTCATGAGTTTTGGGTTGGTTAACTTTCACTTCTAGAGAGATAAAGTATTTTGGTTGCTCTCGAGGTTATCTTTCCAGTAGTGGTATTGCAGTGAAAAACAAGGTATTGATCGACCGTGTTGCTCGATGGGGATAGCAAGTTTAAAAGGGAAGATTGGTAATAGGATTGTATTATAGATATGTATATCTTTTGTAACCCAAAACTATATTCTTCATAAAGATAGTGGATTTCTAGTTGCAGAGGTCGTGGATGTAACCTTACGGCGTGAATTACGTAAATCATGTATTGTTGCGTGTGCCTTTTATGTTTGCTTTATTTCTTGTACTCGATTTATAATTGTATTCATCTACTTCACATTTAACCAATGTATACACGATCTTGGGAGGGATCCTAATATTTTGGATTCTCGGTTCTGCAAATTAGGGGCTCTCGAGAACCCTACAATTGGTATCAAAGCACAGGGTGTGTATGGGGCTAAGGCTCGCATTGAGAAAAAAAAGAATATTGAAGTTTGATGGGTACAAGGTTTGAGGTGGAAAAATATAGAGGCAATGTGTTTATGAAAATTCCACAATGGAGGCAAGTATGAAGAAATCAAGAAATCTATCAAATAAAAGTCGGCAAGGCAAATATGATGATTTTAATGAAGGTCGGCAAGGTAAATATATTGATTTTACTATCAAGGTGAAGATTATTAGGTTTGATGATAATAAAATCACCGTACCTAGTTTTTATTAAAAGATTAAGGGTATTATGAGAAAAAGAGAAGGGGTTTCTTGGGAGCACGAAAGAAACTCAAATGATCTCTATAAGAAGGGATCAATGATAACATAATACTCATCCTTTTGAGGGTCACCCATTTGGGGGTTATTGAAATAGATCTCCAAATATGGAGATTGATTTCCAAGAGAGAGAGACATGGCCTCTGAGAGAAACGGTATTCATATGAGTTTTGAAATGGTAAAGATTCCACTTATAGAGAAAAAATATTGCTCTCGAAGTTATCTTTTATTGTAGGGCTCTCGAGAACCCCTAATTTATGGAACCAGGAATCTCAAATACCAGGATCCCACCTAAGATCATGTACACATTGACTAAATGTGAAGTAGA